AGCATAGTAACAGCTCATACCTCTATTTATAGCTTGGTGACAGCTCATACTACTTCCTCCAGCACAGTGACAGCTCATACCACTACTCCTATCATAGTGACAGCTCATACCATTACTTCTTGCATGGTGACAGCTCATACCACTACTCCTAGCATAGAGACTGCTCATACCACTACTCCTGGCATGGCGACAGCTCATACCACTACTCCTAGTATAGTAACAGCTCATACCACTGCTTTTAGCATAGTGACACCTCATACCACTACCACTACTTTTAGCATTATGACAGCTCATACCATTACTTATAGCATGGTAACATCACATACCACTACTCCTAGCATAGTGACTGCTCATACCACTACTCCTAGTATAGTGACAGCTCATACCACTTCTTCTAGCATAGTGACAGCTCATACCACTACTCCTAGCATAGTGACAGCTCATACCACTACTCCTAGCATGGTGACAGCTCATACCTCTACTCCTAGCATGGTGACAGCTCATACCACTACTTCCAGCATAGTGACAGCTCATACCACTACTTCCAGCATAGTGACAGCTCATACCACTAGTTCTAGCATAGTGACAGCTCATACCACTAATTATAGCTTGGTGACAGCTCATACCACTATTTCTAGAATGGTGACAGCTCATACCACTACTTCTAGCATAGTGACAGCTCATACCACTACTCCTAGCATAGTGACAGCTCATACCAGTAATTCTAGCATAGTGACAGCTCATACCACTATTTCTAGCATGTTGGCAGCTCATACCACTACTTCTAGCATAGTGACAGCTCATAACACTACTCTTAGCATGGTGACAGCTAGTACCACTACTTCTAGCATGATGACAGCTAGTACCCCTACTTCTAGCATGGTGACAGCTCGTACCACTACTCCTAGCATGGTGACAGCTCGTACCACTACTTCTAGTACGGTGACAGCTCATATCACTACTTATAGCATGGTAACATCACATACCACTATTCCTAGCATAGTGACTGCCCATACCACTACTTTGAGCATGGTGACTGCTCATACCACTACTCCTAGCATAGTGACAGCTCAAACCACTACTCCTAGCATGTGACTGCACATACCAATACTCCTAGTATAGTGACAGCTCATACCACTTCTTCTAGCATAGTGACAGCTCATACCACTACTTCTAGCATAGTGACTGCTCATACCACTCCTTCTAGCATGCTGACAGCTCATACCACTATTTCTAGCATAGTGACAGCTCATACCACTACCACTACTATTAGCAAGATGACAGCTCATACTACTACCACTACTTCTAGCATGGTGACAGCTCATACCACTACTCCAAGCATAGTGACAGCTCATACCAATACTTCTAGTTTGGTGATAGCTCCTACTTCTATTTCTAGCATGGTGACAGCTCATATCACTACTTCAAGCATAGTGACAGCTCATATCACTAATTCTAGCTTGGTGACAGCTCATACCACTATTTCTAACATGGTGACAGCTCATACCACTACTTCCAGCATAGTGACATCTCATACCACTACTCCTAGCATAGTGACAGCTCATACCACTCTTTCTAGTGCAGTAACAGCTCATACCACTATTTCTAGTATGGTGACAGCTCATACCACTACTTCTAGCACAATGACAGCTCATAACACTACTCTTAGCATGATGACAGCTAGTATCACTACTTCTAGCATGGTGACAACGAGTACCCCTACTTCTAGCATGGTGACAGCACGTACCACTACTCCTAGCATGGTTACAGCTTGTACCACTACTTCTAGTACGGTGACAGCTCATATCACTACTTCTAGCATGGGGACAGCACATACCACTACTCCTTGCATAGTGACAGCTCATACCACTACTTCAAGCATCGTGACAGCTCATACCACTACTTCTGGCACAGTGACAGCTCATAACACTACTCTTAGCATGATGACAGCTAGTACCACTACTTTTAGCATGGTGACAACTAGTACCCCTACTGCTAGCATGGTGACAGCACGTACCACTACTCCTAGCATGGTTACAGCTCGTACCACTACTTCTAGTACGGTGACAGCTCATATCACTACTTCTAGAATGGTGGCAGCACATACCACTACTCCTTGCATAGTGACAGCTCATACCACTACTTCGAGCATTGTGACAGCTCATACCACTACTACAAGCATAATGACAGCTCAAACCACTACTCCTAGCATGGTGACTGCTCATTCCAATATTCTAAGCATAGTGACAGCTCATACGACTACTTCCAGCATAGTAACAGCTCACACCACTACTTATAGCTTGGTGACAGCTCATACTACTACCTCAGGCACAGTGACAGCTCATACCACTACTCCTATCATAGTGACAGCTCATACCACTGCTTTTAGCACAGTGACACCTCATACCCCTACCACTACTCTCAGCATTATGACAGCTCATACCACTACTTATAGCATGGTAACATCACATACCACTACTCCTAGCATAGTGACTGCTCATACCACTACTCCTAGTATAGTGACAGCTCATACCACTTCTTCTAGCATAGTGACAGCTCATACCACTATTCCTAGCATAGTGACAGCTCATACCACTACTCCTAGCATGGTGACAGTTCATACCACTACT